CTTCCTCTCCTCTCCCCCTTATCCTCGCCGTCTCCTCCTCCTCCTCCTCATCATCATCATCATCATCAGCATCAGCATCAGCATCAGCATCAGCATCAGCATCAGCATCATCATCATCATCATCATCATCATCATCATCATCATCATCATCCTTTTTAGTTGCCTCTTCCTGAGTCAGCGACTGTGGCGTTTTTCCTCCTCCCCCTCCTCCTCCCCCTCCACCTCCTCCTCCTCCTCCGCCTCCTCCTCCTCTTCCCAGTCCCGAAGCCAACGGCCCTGGGGACAATCAGAACGCAAGTTTCACGCGGCGGCGAGTTAAGCGTTCCCACGAAGGCACGGGCGTCGCTGAGCGCCGCGCCCCCACGAACAGACAACCACGGGAGCCCCACCTCCCCCGCCCCCGCCCGAGGCCCGAGCCTGACGAAGGGCGGCTGGGCGACCCCCCCCCCCCGCATCACCCTTCCCCTTCGCCCTGCGACCCTCGTAGAGGGCAAACGAACATCCCTCACAACCAGCACCCCTTCCTACGAGCGAAGCTCTTCTGTAAGTACACCCGAAGGAGGAGTCGAACAGGGCAGGGCTGTTTCGCAAATGCGCAGGACAACTCAGTAAACGCCAATTATGAGGGTTGGGGTGTTTTTGTTCCTCCCGGCAGCCCTGCCCCCACCCCACCCACCCATTTCCCCCCCACATACACACACACACGCACACACAAACACACACACACACACAAACACACTCACACACAACCACCCATCTCACGCTGGTTTCTCTTCGTCCCTCCCTGGCACCTGCCACTTCGCCCGGCACGCGGAGAATGCGTCGCTGCACTGCGAGTAAAAAATCGTATCGGCCCAGCGTAGAGGCGTAGAGTAGCCCGCGCATCTAAAGCGCCACCTTAGCCCGTTGGTTCGGCTGGTGCCGTGAGCGCCACGCGCATATGCTGGTCTCCCGTGTCCTTGTGCTGGACAATGTCACCACGCCTGCTTCTCCCACTCTTCTTAATCGTCCCGCCAGCGACTCTGGTTCAGCAGAGCCCACGGCTCCGCGACCCCAGCGAGACTGATCTCAAAGACAAGCTGCGTAAACATAACACGTCGAAGGTCCGCGCGGATTTTTTCGATCGGCGCTGGACCCCCTCCGTGGCCTCGCTGGCGCGCCAGATGTCCGGAGCCCATCGAGTCGTCGCGCCGCAAGGAGAAACTGCAAAACGAAATCGCGAAGAAGGCTCTCCCGAAGATGTCCCTGATCGGCGCCAATGCTCCTGAGACTCACCAACCGGATCTCCCGAGGGATAGGCCAGAAAGCTACTTCACAACGTGATCTGGTTTTTGTGAAGCTCCGCGCCGTTCCCAAAGGTCCCCGAGAGCTTCGGCGCGCTGACCTGCGAGTTGCTGCAAGCGTCGCCCATCCACCCCGCCCGACGCCGAGTCGGCGCCGGCCGCGGCGGCGGCGCTGGTCCGAGGAGCCACTCCTGTTCCAGCGCCACCGCTACTGGCTGCTCCAGCACCCGAAGCAGAAGTTGCATGCCTCTGCGCTTGCACAGCCGACGAATAGCGACGCGCACCAATATCGCGAGGTATATCTCGCGCAGGGCAGGCGGGGCCGGTAGATTGTTCATCCATTCCGCGCAGCGCCGATGAAGCGCGCGCGCCGCCCTCTGCACCTGTAAATCCGATGCAAGCAACCCACTCTGAACATGTCGGCACCAGAAAGTATCTGCACTTCTTGAGGCCGAGCAGGGTGCCTGCCAGTTTGCGACTCAGATTCCATGCGTCGCCCCAATGGTTCGGATCTTCTGATCCAGCCGGCTCCGAAGCCCAGTTGTCTCGGGCCCAACGGCAATCTCGTCGTCGCAGCGCGCGGAATCGTGTTGAGTATCTGGACCAATCCTGCCGCCAGACGCTCGCCGCGCACGTCGTCGGCCGCGCGAAGTCGTCGTCGTTGCCCAAGCTCAGAACGTATATCTTTGCAGCGCTGGTGGGTCGTCTGCGTGTCCTTGGCGATGGAGAAAGGGCGATGGGCGCTGGGTGGTGCGCCAGAGCGCTTGAAAATGACCTCGCGAAGACCGCGGTGCATCGGATGCCATGCCCCGCCCACCAAACAACGAAGACAACGTGCGCGTACATTATTACGCGTTCACTCTTGCCGTGCCCAATCCTCCAAATCATTTCCAACTTGATGTTGGCTGTCTTGGTTTTTTATCTAGTCTGCCGTGAAATTAGCCGGGGCCCCACCGAAGGGCATCCGCGGCTGGTGCGTCGTGTCATTGCGCGCATAGCATAAGATGTCCAGGACGAAGGGGCAGTGGTCGACATTTCGAGAAGCAGCGCGCGTCGATTTTGAATGTCGCAGCTTGAAAATACCCGACCCAAAGAACGTGGGGCCAACGCCTTCGAACACGCGGGTGCTGCTGAACGCCATGCGATGCTGGTTCATCTGGTTACGCCACAGGGCGCCTGAAAGGGGTCTCCACTGCAGGCTGCGCGCGTCCCACCGAATCTCCCTCAGGCATTGTTTGTACTGTAGAGCTGATCTTCACAGGTCCACAATGAAATGTGCCGTCGCACTTCAAAATACGGGCACACCGTGCAGGTAAGAAGTCTAGCGCATTCGAAACAAATACCGCAGGAGTCGTGTGCGCCATTGTCCGCCAGCTTCATCCGCAGGCTCGGGCATGAAGAATACACTGCTGAAATACAAGTGTAGTGCGCGTCCCACTTATAGCGTGTGGCGCCACTTCTACCGCCAAGTTCAATAGGTGGTTGCCAACTCTGCAGTTTTCCGATGGTTTGGGAAGATGTTTATGTATACAGCTATCATACATCCTGTGGAAATCCTGGTACAAGTGAGCCCAACTATTTGTTCCCCTCCTGCCTTGATCACCTCTGTGGGCCATTTCCAAGCTTGCCAATTTTCCAATTCGCTTTCCTGCACAGTGCAAATACTGATAATCAGAGAGATGCTTCATGTTGTGACATGTTCTGGTCAATAAAACCTCTTGTGTTGAAGTAAAGCTCGCCAGGACGTCCGTGAGGTTACGACGTAGAGGCAGAGCTTGTGGATTGTTTTCGGATACATCGCAACTACCATGAATCAGCACCGCTTCCGCCTGACGTGACCTGCCAAGTCATCGAGCCTCGCCTTCGAGGCTACGGCATCATAATTCGTGGTGTTGGCCTGCCTGGGATGTCCCACCCGTCCGAGCAGGTAGAACGGACGCCGCGCTGCTAGAAAGATCTGAGCAAAACGGCAGCTTCTTGATGATGGTGCTGCGGATGATTGTTGCTGATGATGGTGGTAGTCATGACGATTGTGATGGTGGCGGTGATTATGATGATAGTGATGGTGGTGGTGGTGATGATGGTGAAGACGGTGCTGCTGATGATGCTGATCATGATTTGGGCGGTGTTCCCCGCGTCCAACGAAGACAAGAGCCTCATATAGGGTGTGGGACAATACATAAACCTGAGCCCGGCGCGACCACAATTAGGGGAATGTGGCCTAAATGCGAAATTAGGCAAGGAAAACACTGCTTGGTTTTGCTTGACGTTGCTTGGCATTGCTGTGCATTGCTTTGTATGGCTTTACGTTGCTAGGCTTGCTTTGCTTTGCTTTGTTCGGCATTGCTTGGCATTGCTTTGCTTTGCTTTGCATTGCTTCGCATTGCATTGCATTGCCTGGCATTGCTTGCTTTGCTTAGCATTCCTTGGCATTCCTTAGCGTTGCATGGCATTTTGGCATTGATTGGCATGGCTAGACATTAATTAGCATTGCGTGGCTTTGCTTATCATTGCTTGGCATTGATTTGATTTGCATTCCTTTGTATTGCCTGGCACTGCTTGACATTGCCTAGCACTGCCTGGCATTGCTTGGCATTGGTTTGCATTGCTTTTTGCATTTCTCTGCGTTACTTGGCATTGCTTTACGTTGCTTTGCTTGGCTTTCTTTTGCGCTGCTTGTCAACCAAACATCCAGGAAACCCTGGCAACCGGGCAAGCTGGCAACCAAGCAACCGGCCAACCCTGGCAACCCAAGCAACGGGGCACCGGGCAACCGGGCAACCAGGCAACTGGGCAACCGGGCAACCAAGCAACCGGGCAACCGGGCAACCCGAGGAAGGCTGGGCAACCCCCCGAGGATGGCCAGGCAACTGGGCAACCCTGCAACCCGAGGACAGCCGAGCAACCCAAGGCAACTCCAGGGACTGCCAGCCAGCCAGGCCTCGCACACACCCGTTCGTCACAAACCAATGAGCACCCTCAGGCAGACCTAATCGGAAACGGATTTTCGGAGTGCGCGGACTTCTTGGATCTGCGCTGGACCCTTGGCGGCGACTCCAGCACCGCCTCTGGCGCGCGCTCCGCGCGCCAGGGAGGGGGGGGGGTCCAGCGCCGATCCAAGAAATCCGCATGGACCTCCGAAAGTTTATGCTGATGCAATTTCTTTATCTTCGACTTCCTCCCCACCCCCGCCCCCTCCCCTCCCCTTCCTTTTCCTACGCATCCCGCCTAAGCGAACCAGCTGGGTGAATCCAGCTTTTGCTCTCACGGCGTACACGTGAGAAAGCTACGCCTTCGACTCCAATGCTTCCATGCTGGCGCCCAGCGGCGTTCCTTCACGTGAGCATATGCCGTCGCATTGCAACATATATTCCTTCCCCTTCCCGCTTTTCTACCCCCTCCCCTCCCTTCCCCTGCCAGCGCGCACTGCCACGGTCGCCCAGACAGTGGGAGGCATGCGGGTGGCAGCAATGTCTCCACGATGACCCGGCACGAGAGAACAGGAGGTGACGGGCGACGACGAGAGAGGATCAACAAAGGACAAAAGGGAAAGCAAACAGGACTCCCAGGACCTGTCCCGGAGTGCTTTCTGAGGAAAGCTTCACGAACAGTCCAGCCGGGGGCCACGAGGGCTCTCCAAGACGAGCAGCGGTATCGGTACAGCTTCGTCTTCTGAACATAAGGAAAGCGAGAGGGAGGGATTAGAGAGCAGCGCTCCCAAGGCAACAACAGCTTCGTCATCGTGCCCGGCATGGATATGACCCCAGCGCACCGGCCGCTCTTCATGGCGGACTTGCGGTCGCACTTTCCCAAAGACTGGAGCTGGTCCTGCCGGCCAGGCCCACCCCTCCAACACTTTCCCCCCGCTCCCTCCGCTGCGCCGTCCTCTCCTCCTCGTTCTCCTCGTTCTCTTGTTCTTCCTTCTCCTCCTCCTTCTCCTCCTCCTCCTGCTGGCCTCTGACTTCCTTGGGCTAAACTCGTCCTCTTCCTCGGAGCCTCCGCCGCTTCCTGGACCCGTGCCCGTGGGTGGGCCACAGGTCCTGGTCCAAGGAGATGGCCTAGATATCTTTCGGGAGCTTTTTGTGGGAGGGATCTGACTACCACTCTTGCTGGCCTGGCCAGCGCTCTCAGGCGCCTCCTGCCTGTTCGTCGGCTCTGCCGGAATGTAGCTTTCTGGCGTCCGCTTGCGTGCGCCCCGCAGTGCCTCTCGGCGCTGTTATCCTTAGGCGGAGGGGTAGGATTCTCATCTTATCCCTCTGCCGTCTTCCCTTCATCAGCTAGGCGCCAGTCATCGACCCGCACCTGCGTTGGCTCGCTCGCTCCTCCCTCTTCCTCCCCCTCCCCCTCCCCCTCCTCCTCCTCCTCCTCCTCCTCCTCCTCCTCCTCCTCCTCCTCCTCCTCCTCCTCCTCCTCCTCCTCCTCCCCTTCAAGCTCCTCTTCCTCCTCCTCCTGCGCCTCCTCTTCCTCCTTCTCCTCCTCCTCCTCCTCCTGCTCCTGCTCCTCCTGGCACCTGGCACCTAGTGGCATAAATGTTCGTCGGAACGTTGCCTCCCCCCGTCAGGGCCGGTCGGCCCTGAGAGGGGGTTGATCAAACCAGGGGCACGTGGCCCCACTGGCGACGCACGCACTATTACGTGTAGCAGAAGTCATCGTAAACGACAGACTAGGCAACGGACGCGATGGGGGAGATGATGACCTCGAGGAAGGAGAATGAAGGGGGAAATAAAACAAGTGGAGGCGGCAGTACGGAGATAGTGCGGCGGCAATGGCAGACACGTTGATGCAGACGCTCCACTTCATGCAGGCCTGCGGGCGGTGATGGCTGCGGGGCTGCCTGGCCGCGTGATGCGGTCACGTGAAGAATGCGAGGGAGGCGACCTCGCGGAAAGATAACGGGGTGAAATGAAACACGTGGAGGGGCAGCGTGGCGATGGTGCGACGGCGGTGGCAGACGGGTTGATGCGGGCTCCCTGCCCAAATGCACGCCTGCAGGCGGTGATGGCTGCGGGGCTGCCTGGCCACATGGTGCGTTCAGATGAAGAGTGCAAGGGAGGTAGCTGACGGAACGCAGTCGGCATGCAGTACGGTTCTGGCGGCGGTGGTCCGTGTCCACACTCGCCGAGTGGAAGGCACAAGGGCCTCTCCCTCAATTCATGAGAACCCCACCCGGCGCCCCCAAGGTCAAAGACGAGATTCCTCATCTGAAGCAGGCGTACGGTTCCCAGAACATTGACCTCAGGGCCGCCTGTATGGGGTTCCACCGAGCTTGAGGGAGATCTGCGCCTTCCTGGCGGTGGCTGGAGCTTCCACGCTCACTAACAGAAAAACCAGCCACGCACGCCCAGTCGGAAGGAAAAAGGGCCCCTCTCCCTGCACATGGGAATCGCCCCGAAGTTTCCCCCATCCCCGCGGCTAGTACCCTCTCCCGCCAGGATACCCTGACCGCGGGAATGGGGACCGCTCGGTGGGGGGGGCTCCAACGTGCGCGGGGGAGGTTTCTGCCTTCCTTGGCGGCGGCACGGTCGGAGCGTCGTTGTCGCCCCCCCACCCCGCATGGCTATAAGCCACCCCAACAGTTAATGCGTGCAGGCGATCCGAGATCGCGGATGCTGCAAAGGCCTGCGCGGTCGTGGTCTGCACGAGGGCAGTGCGAGCGCGTCGAACGTGAGCGTGGCCGCGGCCGCCCTGTCGGGCGGCCTGCGGTGGGCCCCTTTCCGCCCGCCCCCCCGGCCCCGATCTGCGCCGACCCGCCCGCCGCCGCGAGAGGGGAGGGGGCAGCGGGAGGTCAGCGAGGCAAAGCGAAGGGGGACTGGCTGCGACAAGGTGAGCCGTTTGGCGGAGGCTTTCACGGTGCGCCTTGCTTGTCATCGCCCGCGGGCAAAAATGCCCCGTAGGGGCCCACGTGTCATGCGCGTCAGTCGATGCGTCATGTGCGGGTGAGACCGCCTTCTTGGGGACCCGCATCATCACATCGCCCTCGTTGCTGTTCTCGCAATGGGCTGTGCTGCGTATCTGAGAGTTTGCGTTGACTCGGCCGTCGACGTAGAGGCGGGGTGGCCCACTGTCCTCACTGTGAACTGACACTGGAGCAAACTATTGGCGCAAATTGGATCCAGCTCTGCCGCCGCCGATGATGTCGGAGAATGCGTGCGCTTTTGCGCGCGCGGTGCTGGGATCAGGATAAGGCATGGGGCAGCCGGTGCGATGTCGAATCTGTCCTGGAACACAACTGGTTACGACTCGGGCGAACACTTCCTATGTGGCGTTGCTTAGAAGTGCTTGGCATTGCATTGCTTTGCTTTGCATTGAAACGCATTGCTTGGCATTGCTTTGTGTTGCTTGGAATTGCTGGACAATGCTTGGTAATGCTTTCCATTCCTTTTGGCATTGCTTTGCCTCGCTTTGCCTTGCTTGGCGCTGCTTGGCGTTGCGTGGCATTAGTTAGCGTTGCTTAGCATTGCTTGGCCCTGCTTGACATTACTTGGCGTTGCTTGGCGTTGGTTGGCATTGCTCGGCACTGCTTGGCATTGCTTGGCGTTGCTTGGCATTGCTTTGAACGGCATGGCTTTGCTTGGCATTCCTTGGCGTTGCTTGGCGCTGCTTGGCATTGCTTGGCGTTGCTTTGCGCTGCTTTTTGGCTTTGCTTGGCGTTGCTTGACGTTGCCCAGCGCTGCCTGGCACTGCTGGGGAAACACGACCAACGACCGGGGCGGGGAATCCGAGGAACCCAGAGAACCCGAGGAACCTCCGAGGAACGGACACAAAAATAATACGAGACGCAGGAGGCGGGGAACTCGAGGACCCTGGGGAACCCGAGGAACCTCTGGGGAACGGGCAACGCAAGCCCCCGAGGCACCAACCTATAACCAAGTATGAGCCCCTTAGGCGATCCTCGTATAGTCAAGGGAAAATGGAAATCCAAGGTAGGCGACGCACTGACGGGCCGCCGTTCGGCTGGCCCCTATCTTGAGGCAGGTGCCTCGCGGTTGTTGGTGACCAGGCGGGGCCTCCTGACTCGCCGTGGAGTCATTGTCGAGTTGGTCGGCTTGGTCGAGTTGGCAAGCGACGTTGCAAGGCGACCATTGCTGCCACTCTTGCTGCTTCGGTCGTCGCGCCCGCCTCGGCATTGTCGGCCTGCTGATATCGCTGCCCAGCTGGGTTTTGTTGACCTTCCCCTTGCGGTTGGGTCGTTGGTGTCTAGATTTTCACATGTTGGCTGGGGTGGCTTGGGTCGTTGGTCAGCGCGTCGTCGCTGTGGTCGCGGCGGTCTGCTAGCGTCTGCTGGTGGACGATGTGGGTCACTGCTAGCTGGACATGAGACTTTGGGCTGCGGGCTGCAAAGGGTCGGCCCCGCCCGCTTCCGCGGCAGGCAGGCGCTGCTCTCTCTAGGTTACGAGTTGAGCGAGAGTTTCCTCTAAGCGGTCGGGCCTCGCGATGGCGCTGTCAAAGCTGATCTTTTCGCCCAAGATTGCCGGCTGATTTCTCCGCTTCTCTTGGTGTTGTTCGTCGCAGTGTGGGTCAGAGCTCGCGTCCTTCATGTCGTCGATGTATTATGTGATCAGCTTGTGGACGTGGATATTGTAGAGCGGGGTGTGTCTGTCGTAGTGGCAGCTGCTGTTGTTGTTGTTGTTGTTGTTGTTGTTGTTGTTGTTGTTAGTCAGCCGTGCGATCATGTCTTGGCGCCTTTCGCTGGGGTCGGATCGGTGGCTGCTCGATCGGTGACCTCGCATGCTCGTAGAGTGCGTCAAAGTGGGGTCTGACAAATGCCTTGACTTTGATTGTGGGCCCCTTCTTGTGAGCTGCCCCGGCATGTCCGCCGCTGCCAATTGGCGTGCTTTGCTGGTTGATGCTCCGTGGTGGCGTCTTGGGCGCGCCCTGGAAGGGCGCGCAGGGCTGCGTGGCGCTGCTTGAAGCGCCGCCATCCCCAGTTGACGTGCCCCGCTGCTTCGGCACGCTTCCTGGCCCGCCTGTGATCGGTTGTGCCCTGTAGCGCAACCCGCGTGGAATTGCGGGGGTCGCTTCGCTGGTCGTGGATGCCGCTGTGGTCGGCGTCCGTGTCGCTGTGGATGCTGACGCCCGTTTGCCCGCGCGCTGGGGAATCGTTCGCGGTGGGTGGGCCCCTGGAATCCACGCTTTGGTCCTCAGCGCCCCCTCCCTGGTCGCAAAGTTGCCGGCCTGGTTAGCGAGGAGCTGGTTCGCGAGTTGGCCCCCAGGGCTGCCGGGCTGCACGAGCTCAGTCATCTCGTTGTCGCTCAGGCCAACGATGTTCTTCTAGAGGGTACCAACCCTGTCCCTGGAATCGCTGTCCTTGTGGTACCTCGCGATAGTTTCGTCCAGTGCGGATATGTCGACGTAATGCGAACATGCGTGAGCTGACGGAGAGCGTGCCCTCGGCGGGGATGGCGGCGGCGGCGGCGGCTGGGTCTGGTCCCGCGTCGCCATCGGTGGGTCGCGCATGATGTGCTCGATCGGTGGTCTTCGGGTTCTTTGTAGGAGCTTGCTGTGGTCGGGTCGGTGTACTCGGGCAGTTTGGTTGTTCAGCACGCAAGGGGCTCTGTCATTGGTTGGCGCGCGCTTCGAGAAGCCAATCAGCCCGATCATCGCCCAATAGTCGTCAATGATGCTGTTGCAGAAATAGGTCCTCATCCTGGTAAGCATTATTGGCCAATCTGCGCGTCGCTCAGGCGGAATAAGTGGCATGAGGTGGTTGTGCATGCCTCTCGAGGTGGAGTCGCGTCTGCGTTCGCGTGATCGCCTGCAGTGGTCCCCCATCTGTAACGTCGGCTGGTATGTTCCAACGAAGCCCTGCAAGTGTAGGCCATTGTGGG